AAGCAAGCAAGCAAGCAAGCAAGCAAGCAAGCAAGCAAGCAAGCAAGCAAGCAAGCAAGCAAGCAAGCAAGCAAGCAAGCAAGCAAGCAAGCAAGCAAGCAAGCAAGCAAGCAAGCAAGCAAGCAAGCAAGCAAGCAAGCAAGCAAGCAAGCAAGCAAGCAAGCAAGCAAGCAAGCAAGCAAGCAAGCAAGCAAGCAAGCAAGCAAGCAAGCAAGCAAGCAAGCAAGCAAGCAAGCAAGCAAGCAAGCAAGCAAGCAAGCAAGCAAGCAAGCAAGCAAGCAAGCAAGCAAGCAAGCAAGCAAGCAAGCAAGCAAGCAAGCAAGCAAGCAAGCAAGCAAGCAAGCAAGCAAGCAAGCAAGCAAGCAAGCAAGCAAGCAAGCAAGCAAGCAAGCAAGCAAGCAAGCAAGCAAGCAAGCAAGCAAGCAAGCAAGCAAGCAAGCAAGCAAGCAAGCAAGCAAGCAAGCAAGCAAGCAAGCAAGCAAGCAAGCAAGCAAGCAAGCAAGCAAGCAAGCAAGCAAGCAAGCAAGCAAGCAAGCAAGCAAGCAAGCAAGCAAGCAAGCAAGCAAGCAAGCAAGCAAGCAAGCAAGCAAGCAAGCAAGCAAGCAAGCAAGCAAGCAAGCAAGCAAGCAAGCAAGCAAGCAAGCAAGCAAGCAAGCAAGCAAGCAAGCAAGCAAGCAAGCAAGCAAGCAAGCAAGCAAGCAAGCAAGCAAGCAAGCAAGCAAGCAAGCAAGCAAGCAAGCAAGCAAGCAAGCAAGCAAGCAAGCAAGCAAGCAAGCAAGCAAGCAAGCAAGCAAGCAAGCAAGCTTCCAAATTGATTACCCCAAAGGATCTGATACTTTCCCACTATATGCCCTCGGTAGCCCTTCTTCCTCTTTCTCCCCACCTGGCTTTCCTCCAGAAACCAAAACGGGGAACATCTTTTCCTTTTAAAAAGCTATAGGGCTGAGGCTTCTTTGTCCAGGAAAACTAACTTTTGAGGACATCAGGAATTTGCCCTGTTGGGTTTAGCCTGGCCTCTTTCTATTCCTGCAGTTCTGTCTCCTCTCTCCAGGTTCAGCTTTCAGATTCTTCCGCAGAATGAAAGTTTGGGTTGACATTAAAAGAACTTTCTGTGGAAGTTAAAGGCTCCCGACTTGCATGCACCTCATTACTTAAAGGAGGCTGTTTTATAATCAGAGTTCTAACAATAATTCTTGTTTATCTAGGCTTCAGCTTATGTGGATAGTAAACTGAACATTGTGCGTGCTTGCTGTTGTTTTTTAAAGTGCCTGATGGAAACAGAGGACGTGGATGCTACAATAAGTTAATTAGCAGCTTGATAGCGTTCTACATTTCAGTTTATTATTATTGCTCTTAAGAGCCATCGGAAAGCAAACATTAGCCTTTCTTCCAGAAAGGTTGAATCACACCTCACTGAAGGAAGGATCCTTATCTTTGATTATATTCTGTACTCTAAAACATTTAAAAAAAAACATTCTGTGGCATAATTTTTTTAAAGGCCTCCTATAATTATTTGCCCTTTCATTCTCACAAAGAGAAAAGATTGGAAATGTAATTTTTTCCCATTATTTTCTCACAGAAACATGAATGTGAAGATATGGAAAAAATGTTGTCTAAAATCCTGCCATTCCCCCTCCCTTAAAAAAAAAAAAAACAGCAATAAAGGCTCTCTATTGGCATGATTTTCTACTTCTTCTTCCTCTGTTTTTTTAAAAAAATGAATTTAAACATGAGCTTTCCAAAAGAAGTCTTATGCCTCTCACAGTGGCATAAATAGCCTATGCTGAGCTTCCCCGCCTCCCCCCCCCCAATATACTCTGGGACAAAACACAGGGCTTCCCTTTAAAAAAAACATAAATGACTGAAAGCAGATTACCTGGAACAGTGAAGTTTTTAATATATTATTTTCTTCCAGAACAGGCCTATAAAATGTTTCCAGCCTATCTGTTCCCCCCGAAGGGAGTTGAAGTTCATTCCTTCTTAGCGTGTTTTACAAGAAGCCTATTAAAGAGGCATTCATAATAGGAATCCAAAAATTTCTGCACGACATTGTGGGAGGAATTCTTTTTTTAAAAAAGCAAAACTAAAACTCAATGGTGCAGAAAAAGAATCCACATTTTAATGGAGTCACGGCGTTAGCCAGCAACAAACCGAACTCAAAATGTAGCGTGTGTAAAATAAGCTTTAAATCCATATTTAAAGCGAATCTCAAGACTCTACTGAAAAAAAAGCATGTATATTAGTAATGCCTCAAATACAGGACGTCTTGCGCTGATTAGAGGCAGGTCCTGCCAGGGCAATCCACAAACAAAATAAGCCAGAATACTTTTGTTTCGAAGTGAAAGATTTTAAGGATCGGCCTTAGTCTCTCTCCCCCCCCACACACACCCCCAAATTCTGTAATGCAAATGCACGCAGTTAAACCACCAGCGATGAAATACACACCTCGTTGTGTTTAGAGCGAAAGCAAATGAGTCAACTCAAGTTCAATTACGTTTGGTAAAGTAATTTGCAAGCTGCTGCTTGAAAACAGGTTGCGCTGATATCGCAAACAAGTGTTCATAGAGGGAAAAGCAGGCTACGATCCTTGGCACATTTACTTGGGAGTAACGCTCATGCAACAGTCACTATTAGGATTTGATCCGGAGTTTAAAGAAAAAAAACAGTAACGAAAAATAACGAAACGAGCATTCTTCATTGAAGCAGAGGTAGGACTCAAAACAATTTAAAAGCAAACGAACACTTATGTTGTTTCTTTCTCTCACCCGCTCCCCTCAAGGCTGGTAATGAACTAATCATTTGTCACTGTCTTAATTTTAAAAAATAAATAGGTCTAATCCACACCTACTTCCTACACATTCTCTTCTTAGAGACCTACCGATCAACCCTTTGACGCTTTGTATTAGACCATGAACCTAACGCATATTGTAGATTGTTAAATTGAGTGATTAACCAAAATGAGCTTTTTTAAAAAAAAATAATAATACCCAAAACCTAAATAAATATAACGAAATAATAGCTTATTATGGCCATGAGTACGTTCCAAGTCAAAACATCCCGAGCTGGTTTTAAAAAGATCACGGTTTGGCCACGTCATCTCTCTTAAAAAATAAATATTCCTGAATGAAGGGGTGTCGGAGAAAATAGTAAGGATTTGACATTGTGTTCTAGTTTGTGAATCTCCTGAGTTAATAAAAATTTGAATGAAGAAAGGAGCGGACGCTAGACCAAAAACATATAATATTATATGTACGTGAATATGTGCGCTTGGATCCTAGATGTACGCTTGGATCCTATTTTCTTTATAGTCTGCCTGCTGCCATTCTATACACGCTTACCTGCGAGTATACCTCCATCCAACCCAATAGAATTTACCTCCGAGTAGGCATGTTTTGGGAACTGTCAGATAACCAAGGAACGGTCTTAGGGCCTGCAAAAAGGGCGCACATGCAAGCGGTCGCAAGGGATTGGGTCCCTCTGCTCAGGAGTAAGCCTCATTGCGTTTGAAAGGGTTTTAAAGTAAAGCAGGTAAGTACTCCGAGGTGCCATGGATTTCTTCCGATTTCCCTGCTCAAATCAACGGGGATCTGCATTTGATTTGTTTCGTTTTTTTAAAGCTGTGCCCCAGAATCGTGCCTTAAAATAACCTTTTTTTGCTTTAAAAAAAAACTTGCTTGGAAAGCATTTGGAAATGCATCGAAAAGATCTGCCTGGTCTCTCTTTCCCCGCCACTTCGGAAGGGGGAATAAATAAAAACGGGGAAAACAACAAACAAACAAACAAACCCCAACTTTTGACTCAAGTTCGGGGCGCAATTTAGCACCTTGCGATTCCCGGGATTTTACTCCCGAGGAAACCTGCTCGCTAAAAGCGTCCAGGAAGCGGGGAGACAGAGAAAGAGCTTAGCCATATGATCATCAGGATCATCGCATTGGAGCTCTCGGATTTTCCCAGCGGGGTTTAGGAGCCCCGATGCCAGAAGTGCTGGGAGCTCCAGACTCCTTCCCTGCCCCTCCAAGCTTAAGGTGATGGCGGGGGTAGCAAGGCGGGGAGAGGAAAGGGGCAAAGCATTAAAAAACAAAAGGGGGGCGCGCTTTCTGACCTGCCAGCCTTGGTGACGATCATCTCGGTGCCCAGCTGGTTGAACTCATCCCAGAGGGCCTTCATCTCCAGCTGGACGCTGACGTTGGCCACCTTGGGGTTCTTCTTGACCGGCGCCTTGGACGAAGCCGGAGCCGATCCGGGGCCCGTTCCTCCTCCACGACCACCCCCTCCACCCCCTCCTCCTCCAC